TACCTCTTTGCCTTTTGGCTGCGTGCAAGTGGGTCCTTGTGACACACGGGGATGGGGGCAGCCAGCGCTCAACCTGTCATCCACGTGGCTGGCCTTGTACGTAAGAGGTTATGAACAGGTGGAGCTTTCCTTACCTCTTCCCCTTTCCCTTTTTTCCTTTTCCTTTTTTCTTTCCCCTTTTTTTCGCTTCTGCGCTCTGATTCACAATGTGACAATATATATGCAAGTGGGTCGATATGACACACGGGGGTGGGGGCAGCCGCCGCTCAACCTACATCCACGTGGGTGGCCTTGTACGCAAGAGGTTCTGAACAGGGGGAGTCTTGTAAGGAAGAAGCTAAAAAATGAATTGATATTTTTTTGTTTCCTTTGTTTGTTTTTTTTTCGCTTTTGCGCTCTGATATCTATGTGACGATATATATACAGTTTATACGGTTTACTGGGCAGCTCTGTTTGACGATATATAGACGGGCCATACAGGGTAGACAAACCGCATTGAGCAGCTATGGTGGGGAATGATCGAGAGAAGAGGGGATGCCTGCAAAACCTGAGAGGACCTATACAAGAGGGCTGGTTGGAAGGCCTACTGTCTTCCCCCGAATGGAACGGATGGTCATTGTCCCTGCATGTAGACTGAAGGTTGCCCAAAATTCAGGCATAATTACCGTACGTTCTATTCGGGGGAAGACGGTAGCGGGCAATCCAATGCCCACTTGCAGGAACCATCATAGCTCCGTCGTCATCTGGCCATGTGGACTGGATGAAGCTTTTGGGTAAAACTAGGTGGGGGTCCAAACCGACCTATGTGTTGAAACGTCGGTTCGGTTTGAGCTGTTGTGCTTAGTGGTGAAATGCCACTGCAACTGGGAGCTACCTTCTTCCCCCGAATACAACGTACGGTCATTATAGCTGTATTTGAGGCCGCTTTCAGTCCAGATGCAGCGATAATGACCGGGCGTTCTATTCGGAGGAAGAAGGTAGCTGTTTCTCCCCGAAATGCGTTGAGGCGTGGCAATTAACTGCACTGCATTATCCAGGGGTAAAACACTGTTTCCGTGTGGGCTGCAAAAGTGCTACCAAATCCAGGCAAACTGTGAATACTGGGTACAAACTTCAGTTAACTAGGAGGATCTCCTTCATAACCGCAGAGTCTGACAGTTAGCAGTTTCAGAACTTCTTACAGAAGCCTGCAGCTCTCACTAGCCACAAGGGAGATGCTGGAATATCCTATGGAACGCCGCAGTTCTGTTTTTGCACATTGTGTCGTTCGCGAGAGAAACGTCTCACGTAATGTGCTACATGAAAAGTGTGTGTGTGTGTGTGTGTGTGTGTGTGTGTGTGTGTGTGTGTGTGTGTGTGDGAGAGAGAGAGAGAGAGAGAGAGAGAGAGAGAGAGAGAGAGAGAGAGAGAGAGAGAGAGAGAGAGAGAGATGTGTTGCTAGAAAATATATTTATAGATTTCTTGATACCATGATTGAGTTAAAATTAACATGCTGAGACACAGCACACTTGCTCAAATGCGAAAAACGGAAGTGAAAGACACAGCACACGTGCCTATGAATGCACGTGGCTGGCCTTGTACGTAAGAGGTTATGAACAGGCGGAGCTTTCCTTGCCTCTTCTTTTCCTTTCTCTTTACTCTTCCTTTCTTCTTGTTTTCTCTTTTGCGCTCCGGTTCAAAGAGTGACAATACTTTAAAGCATTGTTGCAGAGACACAGCACACTTGCCCAAATGCGAAAAACGGAAGTGAAAGCTGCAGGGCAAATTCAAAAACGAGGTCCACGTTTGTGCACAGTTGCTTTTGTGCCTACTCTGGTGCGCTGAACGTAATGCACCACGATATAATCAATGTATGCAAGCTATCTTTCCGGTCCGGTACAACCAGAAAAATGAGGGTGCGTTGTCCTCGGAGGAAGACGACAGCATGTGTTCTGAAGTTTATAACCCGGCAGACTTGTTGAAAACCAAAGTTGACCAACGGGCCTAGCTCAATTTGAGTTGGAATCCAGCTGCAATCAGATGAAAAAAATAAATTATATTTCTGAATTTTACCTGGAGCCGATCAGATCAATGATGATACCTTAAAGGTCGTCACCCTTAAAAAGAGAGAAAAAAAAAGGGAAACTTAATTTATGTACGAAAAGCTTATTCAAAACTGCAGCACAGGTGGCCGAACAAGCATCGTGTTCGCGATGGGAGGGGAACATGAACACGTTCGCCCGAACGCGAACGAGGGCCAAAAACCCTCCGAACGTGAACATAAAAAAAATATTAAAAAAAAAAAGACGTTCTCAGAAAAATCTGAAAAAATATATGTCATGTAATACAACAATACAAGTAAGTTTTGCCTTGGAGTCATGTTCAATTTCTTAGCCAAACTTGAGTTAAAAATAAAAAACCGAAAAAATATATATATATTTTTTACATTCGTTCACGCGAACGTGGAGGGGCGCGAACACGGTTGGCGTGCTACGCAGATTCAGGGTATACTTACAGGACTTTTTCACCTTACCTATGGACGTAATTGCAGTCAGATGGATGCAAAGAGTTGCCGTAAAAGCGGTCAGATTCATTCAGGAAAGTCCTCGCTTCAGTATAGCCGCACTAGAAAGAGTGAAAGGACTGTCAGTGTCAGAAAGGAATCAGATCAGTTGGTACTCCCATGAACTGTTGAAATGAAGACCTAAGTTCGAGTCCAGATGGAATTACATGAATGAATCAAAACTATGAAAACGTAGATTGCAGCATTGATTCCATGGGACTTACTGCACCACTCGCAAAACACCAACATTTTGAATGCATCTGGACCACCGCTGTGTCCAGACAGGCAAAATGTTCGTGTGTGGTGAGTTGTGGCGAGCCCTCATGTCGCACACAAGGGCTGTCTCGCAGTCAAACCCGCCAAAAGATGGAGTGTCCCCTCCCCTCCCTTGGCAAGACAGATCTTCGGGACTGAACAAACCTAAGTTATGAGGATGATTCATTTATCTGAATGTGCACTGGCACTGGTTGACAGGTGTGACATATAGTAAAGAAGAAGAAGAAGAAGAATAGTGGTGACAAGCAGTTGGCCAAACGCTGCCTTCCTTCCATACACGCTTCACATGCAAAACATTACATCTCCGGATGTACAAATCTCAGTCAACGCGCACGTTCCCAGAAGAAGAAGAAGAAGAAGAAGAAGAAGAAGAAGAAGAAGAAGAAGAAGAATAGACGATGAAGAAGATGAAGGAGAAGAAGATGAAGGAGAAGAAGATGAAGGAGAAGAAGGAGAAGAAGAAGGAGAAGACGATGACGGATGACAAGAAGAAGAAGAAGAGGAAGAAGAAGAAGAAGAAGGAGAATATGGCGACGGAGGACAAGAAGAGGAGGAGGAGGAAGAAGAAGAAGGAGAAGACGACGACGGAGGACAAGAAGAAGAAGAAGAAGAAGAAGAAGAAGAAGAAGAAGAAGAAGAAGAAGAAGAAGAAGAAGAAGAACGAGAAGAAGAAGAACGAGAAGAAGACGAAGAAGACGAAGACGACGAAGACGAAGACGAAGACGACGAAGACGAAGAAGAAGAAGACGAAGACGAAGAAGAAGAAGACGAAGAAGAAGAAGACGAAGAAGAAGAAGAAGAAGAAGAAGAAGAAGAAGAAGAAGAAGAAGAAGAAGAAGAAGAAGAAGAACGAGAAGATGAAGGAGAATACGGCGACGGAGGACAAGAAGAGGAGGATGAAGAAGAAGAAGAAGAAGGAGAAGAAGAAGAAGGAGAAGACGACGACGGTGGACAAGAAGAAGAAGAAGAAGAAGAAGAAGAAGAAGAAGAAGAAGAAGAAGAAGAAGAAGAAGGAGAATTGGCACATCTTGTTGGGAGTCTGTCAGCTCTTTTTCTCGGTGGAGTACCAATGGAGCATTGCTCCTATCCATGGTTGTGGTGCCCTAGTTCACCCGCATGTTGTTCGACAGTTTGTTCATCACGAGTGAATTCAGCTGGGCGAAGAGAGAGGCTCGCACATCCATGGAATACTCGGCGGATTAACACAGCCTTATTGCTTTGATGGATTGCAGCAGCCTTGTAGCTTTGGTGGATTGCCCATAGATTGTTGCCCCTCTATCAATTTTTTCAGTCACCTTGGTCTTATCATGGCTCTCTTCTCCACAACCCCCCCCCCCCCCCCCCCCCCCCCCCCCACCCCCCTTTCCCCTCTCTCAAATTCACCTCCCCATGCATAGGACTTGTAGGCCTGCCTTGCTTGCGATGGAACCTCCAACGTTGTGTGCCACAATCGCTGATTTGGACCATTTCTTCTTAGTGTTATGATCCTACCTCCATCCATAGAGCAAAACTCAAATTGCGAGAAATGCAAGACTTGCTGAAACCCAAAAGAAGAGACGGAGAGAGATAAAGAGTAGATAAGAAGAAAGAGAATTAAAGAAGAAGAAGAGGTAGTACTACACAAGTTATACCAATGTCTTCTCCCTCATTTCTCCTCCTCCTCCTGCTTGTAATGAACCTCTTAGTTCAACACCAGTGAGCGCACATATTCACACCACATGCATGTACGAGATCACACAAAGTTCACACTGGAGACCAGAGAGAGTAAGACCAGATAGCACAACTTATGAATTCCAAAAAGTTAATAGAAGAGCAATAAGAGTTCAAGTCACCAACGCTCATCAGCGCGAACCAAAGGTAACCAGTAACCAGCATAAGCTCTCGGGTGAGTTTCTCTTCTCCACTGCTCTTCTCTCTTATGTATCTCTCCTCCTTGCTGGTCTTCTCTCTAGCTATGTCCTCGCTGTGTCTTCTCTCCCTACATGCGTGCACACTCGCTAACTTCTACCCAAGGATCTACTCTGAATACACCCACTGTCAACTCTACTAACCCTCTGAAGTCTACTGCTAACTACTAGCATTAACACCCTGCACTGGCGCAGCTATGGCTGCCGTCTCCCTGCCAGCGCAATCTTCTTCCTCTCTCTCTCTCTCTCTCTCTCTCTCTCTCTCTCTCTNTCTCTCTCTCTCTCTCTCTCTCTCTCTCTCTCTCTCTCTTAGCGCAGCACTCTGGCTTCCGCGCTCTGCTCCTCGCTACAGCGCACAAGTGCACCAGCACTTCCACACTTCTTGTGAATGAGCAATCTGCCCAACTGGGAGGCTGGCCAGTCCTTTTGTAGTCTTGGATTGCACGTCAAGTCGTGCCAGCCTCTGCTTGTTGGGGCCTGATTGGTTCCGGTACCACATCCCCACGGCCTGTCTGCTTTCGAATGTCAAGACCTTGAACCTTCCCGAATTTCCATAGGTCTGCTGCTGCTTGGGCCTTTGAGTCGTGACGTTTTGATTTTAGCATATGGTTTTGACGGTGGATTGTGACTCCTGCCTCTGAGACACGACTCTTGCCTATGGGACTGCCCTGTCACTCATGGGATGTGACTCTTCAATATGACTTTTCATTATGAAACGTGACTTTTGCCCCTGAGATGTGACTTTTTGCTGGGTGTCTGTGGGACTGGAGTCACTGGACTGCTGAGGTACCCGATTGTGACCTTTCTTCTTCTTCTTCTTTTTTTTTTTTTTTTTTTTTTTCCGATTGTGACCTTTCTAGATTTGACTAATTCGGCCTTTCTTGGCCAGGCCCTCTGACCCTGTGACCCGAATTTGGGGCCTGTATCGTGGAAGGCCTTTCATCCTCCTCCTCCTCCTCCTCTTAACAATCGATTAAATGAAATAACAAACGGTTACTGAACAGGAATCATATCGAGTGTTCTCCTTTTCTGCCAGCAACTCAAGAGCCCATCTTTCAGCCCTGACCTCACTTCTGTCCTCACTTCTGTCCTCACTTCTGTCCTCACTTCTGTCCTCACTTCTGTCCTCTTCCTAGCTCCTAGGGTTAAGGCGGAACATCCATATCCATCGCGGATGTTCAACAGATAATGTAAACACTACCATGCTAGTCCCATCCCTTCCCGCCATAGCCACACTCTTGGAAGATGTCCAAGTTCAGCATGGACCCATGCTGGCGCCTTCTTGATGCAGTGCCAACCAAAGAACTGAAGATGAATGTCAAGCATAGCCAAGGTGAGACTCTTGAGGTCGGTTTCTCTCTCTCTCTCTCTCTCTCTCTCTCTCTCTCTCTCTCTCTCTCTCTCTCTCTCTCTCTCTCTCTCTCTCTCTCTCTCTCTCNCTCTCTCTCTCTCTCTCTCTCTCTCTCTCTCTCTCTCTCTCTCTCTCTCTCTCTCTCTCTCTCTCTCTCTCTCTCTCACCTCCTACTCCCTCCTACTGCCCTTCTCCTTCCTTTGGTATGGGGCAACTCACCCTCATCACCAGAGCCAGGGCTGCGCCTTGCTAATCCTCCATAGCCAGGGAGGTCTTCTTCTTCGCCCTGCAGCTCCACCGCTCGTCAGGCAATCCACCCAACTTCCCCCTGTGGGCGGAGCAGCAGCACGACTGCTGGGTAAGATGCCACACTCCACTCATTACACCCGATATCATCCTGCACAGTGGCCTCACAGCTTCACTTAGGCTGAGGTACTGTGCCCCACCGCTGCCTCTCCGGGGTACTAGACCTACCAGGAGTTACTGCCTTCTGGCGGGTACATTGTTGCAGCCTGCAAGTCCGAGAATCATTGCTTCCCCTCGCGCCTGCCTCTCCTTGTCTTTTCTGTGGGCGTTACACACTGAGAATGATCGTTTTCCTATCAATAGTACAGGGTGAAGAATTGTTTGCTTGCTCGCATCTAAAGCCATACAAAGGAGAGGAGCAGTTATGTTGCTTGCTTTTTTTGGCTTGCGTGCTTGTGAATTGAACCTTTGCTGTGGTGTTGCGGCCTCTACACGTACAGGGCCCTCGTGTACACACGTACATGGCCTTGTACAGCGCAACACTCGGGTAAGACCAGCAAAAGAGCGAGCGTGAGTGTGTGAAGATTGTATTCTAATGCCTTGCCTGTGGGGACCACACGTGGTTAGACCACCAGTACCCCTCCCAGCCAAAAACAAATCCGACCTCCTGAATTCATGGAGGTCCTTTGACAGGGTTGGTAGAGGGCCAACTAGAGGCCGGGTAGAGCTTCGGTAGAGGTGCGGGGGGGGGGGTTGCGCATTTTGAAAACGAGAAGGAACGACCAGAGAAGGAAATACCAGTAGGATTAAACACAACAAACAAAAAAGAAAGTGGAAAATAAAAAATCTGGAAAGGGAAAAGCTTTCTGGGAACGGCACGCGGCAGGTGTGGTGGGGCAGTGCGTCTCGCGAAGAACTATCCAGCGTGCAAATATGAGGATTAATCTTCCTGCTGAAAGCTGGTTGATGCAGGGAAGAAGATTAGTATGTGGCCCTGGACAAGGATGGCACGCGTAAATCGAGAAATCTATTGAAAATGGAGAAATAGATTGAAAATAAAAGAAAAGCAGAAAGCTGCAGCCCCCATGGCATCACTCTGACAGGCGCGTTACCTGCACCTCAGTCGAGATTTGCGCAGTGCCATGACTCTGAAAGGCGCGTTGCCCGCACCTCGGGAGAGATTTGCGGAGTGGCATTCGCGCTGCACTGCCTTCGAATGTGCAAAATGAGGATGAATCTTCACCCGGAACGCTGGTAGATACACTAAAGATTAGCATAGCCCTGTGTGAGGAGGATAACACCGCATAAATCGAGAAATAGTCCGAAAAAAAGGTAAAAAAAAAACAGATACTGCGGCCTACTTTCTGTCTTTTGTGCATTAGAGCCGCCCTCCACTACTCTTCCCTTGTGCGAAATGGGACTGAATCCTACGCTAGAACATGGCAAGATACATTGCCATATATATTTTTTTATCTGTGCATGTGGAGAGTAGTGGAGCGGGGCCGTGGCACTACTGTGACGATGGGGGAAATTGGCGAATTTTTTGCACACAAATGGCAGAATAGAAAAAGAGACGAAGGGGGGCAAAAAAGGAAAAAAATACTCAGGGGGAAAAAAGCAGACAATCAGAACCGAGCGACCGATCGCCTGCATTGAAGGACCAGTCAGCTGCTATATCTCCACGGCGCAGCAGCCCTATTCACGAAAACGAAAGAGGTTCGGACCATACTTGCGGCGCATCGAGGTGCGCGGCATCCCGCACGTGCGCCGCACCGCGCACGGGGTGCGGCGCACCCCGAAAATAAGGGGTCGGCCAAAAAAAAAAAAGTTGGGGAGGGGTGTTGTAGGCTCAGTGGGATGTCGCGTCAAGTAACAGAAAAAAAACAACAACAACAATTTGAGGCCGCGCGGGGCCCCGGAACTGAATTTTTTTTTTTAAGGAAGAACATCAGAATTTCTTTGCACGAGTGAAGCCTGGCACGTCCAACCTGTCAGAACCTCAACGGTACTTGGAGTCTGTATGGTAGGGTTCTTGCAGGCCAGATTCAGTCATGATGAGGGTCACGATCTCTCAAAACGTTCTCTTCGTATTACTTCTGAAGTAGAAAACGACGGAACTGGCAGCCGTTTTTCCTGGATTTTTTTTTTTAATGAAAGGAAAAAAACGTAAAGGAAGAACAGCTCTTTGCACGAGTGAAGCCCGGCGCGTCCAACCTGTCAGAACCTCAACGGTAATGTTCACCAACGGGCTCGCTGCACAACTCTCGACGTGCACAACAAGACATAGGGCCTCGCTGCACTACTCTCAACATGCACAAAAGACAAAAATATTGGCGGTGTATCTTTCCATATTCTGATGCAAGATTCACTCTCGTTTTGCAGATTTCCAGAGTAGTGCAGCGAGGCCCATATATGGCAATGTATCTTTCCATGTTCAAGCGAAGGATTCAGTCTCATTTGTTCAGAGATTCTCCAAAAAAAAAAAAAAAAGTTTCCAGAGATACGTTACGTGCTTACCGGATTCATCGGCCCTTCGTTCTCCACCACCCAACGTATGAATGAATCTTCCGCCAAAACATGGAAAGATGCACCGCCATATTTTTTGTCCTTTGTGCATGTCGCCCCGCTTCCGGATTCATGTTGCCCGTTGATAAGGGCGGTTTCTTCGGTCCGATAGTGTCAGCACACAGTTTCTTCTCTCTCTCACACGGTTTCCTCTCTCTCTCTCTCTCTCTCTCTCTCACACACACACACACACACACACAAATGTGGCGGTGTATATTTCCATGTTGCAGCGGTAGATTCACTCGATTTTGCTCGTTGTTTCGATGGAAGTACCACGAGGCTAGACGCGACGTTGGAGACCTCTCTCTCTCTCTCTCTCTCTCTCCCTAAAATAAAAAAATAAAGTAAATGGTGTGCGCACCCGGCGCACCTGCGCCCCGCCAGGGCGCACCCCCCAGCGCACCTGCGCACTGCGCACCCGGGTGCGCGGTGCGCGCCGGTGCGCGCGCACCTCGGGTCTGCGCACCGCACAGCGCGCGGCGCACCGCGCAGCGCACAGGGTCGGTGCGCCGCAAGTATTGTTCGGACCGTTCGGTGGC